GCGTTTGTTGGCGACTACTGTTCTACTGCGCTTGAGCGGTTAGCTAAACGCTAAATTCGGGTTTAGCTAAGCCTTGAATTCGGGTTTAGCTTGAAATCCTGGTTTAAGCCCGGATTTGAAGCCGATTTTAGGGTTTAATGGTTCTAGCTAAAGCTGAATTCAAATTTCTCCATTTAAAATTAATAGCTAAACCCGAATTTAGGGTTTAGTTAAACCTTACTTAAATTAAGGTGTATTAATTAAACCCTACTTTAGGGTTTAGCTAAGCTCTAATTAATTTTGAATTGGGGTTTTGCTAAGCCCTAATTAGGGTAGGGCCTCCCAGGGCTTCTTAGGGTACGCGGTTCAGTTAAACCCTAATTTAGGGTTTAGCGTAAACCCTAATTTATTTTTTAGCGTAAACCCTAATTTATTAGGGTTTTAGCTGAGCTCTAATTGAAGTTAACTTGGGGTTTGCTAAACCTCAATTTGGAGTTTTTAGCTAAGCGCTGGCCTCCCAGGGCCTTCTAGGGCCTGCCAGGGCTTCTTCAGTTAAACCCTAATTTAGGGTTTAGCTAAGCTCTAATTAATGGGCGTCGCTACACCCTAATTTAGGATTTAGCTAAACCCTAATTTGGGGCTTAGCTAAGCTCTAATCAACTTTGAATTGGGGTTTCGCTAAGCCCCAACTAGGGTAGGGCCTCCCAGGGCTTCTTAGGGTACGCGGTTCAGTTAAACCCTAATTTAAGTAAGGTTTAGCGTAATAAACCCTCATTTAGAGCTAAGTAAGCTCTAATTGAATTTAAATTAGGGTTCGCTAAACCTCAATTTGGAGTTTTTAGCTAAGCGCTGGCTTCCCAGGGCCTTGTAGGGCCTCCCAGGGCTTCTTCGGGTACGCGGTTTTGTTAAACCCTAATTTAGGGTTTGGCTAAGCTCTCATTAATGGGCGTCGCTAAACCCTACTTTAGGGTTTATTTAGCCAAACCCTGACCTTCCAGGGCCTCCCAGGGCTTCTTAGGGTACGCGGTTCAGTTAAACCCTAATTTAGGGTTTAGCTACGCTCGAATTAATGGGCGTCGCTACACCCTAATTTAGGATTTAGCTAAACCCTAATTTGGGGCTTAGCTAAGCTCTAATTAACTTTGAATTGGGGTTTCGCTAAGCCCTAATTAGGGTAGGGCCTCCCAGGGCTTCTTAGGGTACGCGGTTCAGTTAAGCCCTAATTTTAGGTTTAACGTAATAAACCCTCATTTAGGGTTTAGCAAAGCTCTAATTAATTGAATTTAAATTAGGGTTCGCTAAACCTCAATTTGGAGTTTTTAGCTAAGCGCTGGCCTCCCAGGGCCGTGTAGGGCCTCCCAGGGCTTCTTCGGGTACGCGGTTTAGTTAAACCCTAATTTAGGGTTTAGCTAGGCTCTAATTAATGGGCGTCGCTAAACCCTAATTTAGGGTTTAGCTAAACCCTAATTTAGGGTTCAGCTAAACCCTAATTTAGGGTTTAGTTAAACCTTTTAGGGTTTATTTAGCCAAACCCTGACCCTCCAGGGCCTCCCAGGGCTTCTGAGGGTACGCGGTTCAGTTAAACCCTAATTAGGGTTTAGGGTAACTCAATCTCAACTTCGGGTTTAACTCAATCCTAACTTCGGGTTTAGCTAAACGCTGAGTTGTAAATTCGGGTTTAGCTCAACCCTAAAATTCGGGTTTTGCTAAATCTTAAATCCGACCTTACGTAAACCCTCAATTCGGGGTTAGCTAATTCCTAAAACGGGCGTAGCTAAACCTTAAATTCGGGTTTAACTCAACCTTAAATTCGGATTTCAAACTCAATCCCAAATTCGGGTTTAGCTAAACCCCGAATTCGGGCTGAACTAAATCTTGAATTCGGGTTTAGCCAAATCTTAGGTTTGCTAAACCTTGAGTTCCCGTTTAGCCAAATCTTAAGCAGGCTTTGCTAAACCTTAAATTCGGGTTTAGCCAAACCCTAAATTCGCGTTTAGCTCAACCCCAAATTCGGGTTTAGCTGAGCCTTAAATTAATATATTCGGGTTTAACTAAACCCTAAATTCGGGTTTAGCTAAATAAACCCTATAAATCTAAACATGAAAGTCGGGTGAAGTAAGCCTTACTTACATTCAGGTTTAGCAAAATATAGCAACATCTTAAATCCGGGTTTAGCGAAGCCTTCAATTTGGTTTTAGCTAAGCCCTAAATTCGGGTTTAGCTAAATCCTAATTCGGTTTAAACCCTGAGTTCGGGTTTAGCTAAATCCTAAATTCGGGTTGAGCGGGCAGCGGGTCATCTAGCAGAATCTAGCACTCATCGCTTCTGACCCCATGGATTTCTCACATCTGCTTGACCACGCATGCCATTGCCATAGCCATCATCACTATCCGCGGCAAGGCGAGCATCATCTTTACCAGATGTTGCCAGCATCATGTCTCTCGGTATCGTCACCGCGCTCATCATGTCATCATTGGCATCGCCGTGAATTTTGCCAACCGTCATGTTTCGTGGGTTTGCATACCATTTGCGTGTACCATCGAGTTGCTTAATTTCGTGTCCGCACCTGCTGAACCAACCTCCTTATCATCATCATCATCATCATCACCCGACATCACCCTCATCATATTCATCCTTTCATTGATATCGCGACTGACGCGGTCGAGTCTGTTCTTGTCACGCATCGGCCGAAACTCTTAAAAACACGCTGCTGTTGTCAATATTCCGCAAGATTCAGGCGGTCCATGCCTCATACCGCCTCATACCTCTACCCCAGGGTACAGACAGAGCATCACCGATGGGGGCTGCGGGCACTTATGTCGGCACTCTGCCCGATTAGTGTTTGTGTGACTCTGTTTCCCTCCCACGTTGATGCAGGACAGCCAGTAAGGAACGCTGCACAATTGCATTGTGTGGATCAGGCTGCGGCTTGAGTCAGCGTAATTGAAGTATGCATCGCACCTATCTCTCGTCGGCAAGAAAAATATATTTAACAACACAAGCGGATTGGCACATGTTCTTTTCACATGTAATAATGGATGGAAGAGCTCGGTTGTGCAGCTGTTTCCATCTTCTGGTTGTGCGGCTGAAAAGCCAGGCCTGGTTGGCTGAGCCTTGAGGTTTGTGCGTGTCATCGCCCGTGGAGGGTTCGGTGTTGTGAAGATGGTCAGAGCAAAGAAGACCGGAGTGAGGTCGGGACCTCAGCCTGCTGTAAGTAAGGTCTTTGATGCAATATTCCGCACATTGCGGACGCAAAGGTATGCCTTGAAGTGCGTCCGAAAGCGCGACGTGGTGGAAAAGAACGTCCAGGATGCACTCGTGTCAGAGCTCAGCATTCTGAAGGAGGCCTGGTTTGCAAAGCACATGCCAATCCCATGCAAAGAACTGTGTAACGCAAGGTGGATCACCCATTCATTATCAAATTCGTCCGGTCCTTTCGAAATGAGTGTGGACCCCGGACACGATGTGTCATGCAGAGCTCAAGGCGTTGGAATGACCTCGCTGAATGTCGCTGAAAGGACACGTGTGTGTATTTCCTCATGGAGCTGGTAAGCGGCGGTGAGCTCCTGGATGCCCTGGATGCCCTGGATGCCCTGGGATTGCTGAAATATTCTCAGGCACCATGCTATTGGCAGTGCGCAGCAGCACATGCACACGTCAGCAT